GGGGGGGGCTGATTGTTTTGAGTTCTTTATATATTCTTGATAATAGTCCTTTGTCTGAGGAACAGCTGGTAAGAATTTTTTCCCACATTGTAGATTGTCTCTTAGTTCTGCTGATGGTTTCTTTTGAAGTACAGAAGCTTTTTAATAAGATGAGATCCCAGTTGTTGATTCTATCTGCTAGTTCCCATGCTACTGAGGATTTGTTCATAAAGTCTTTTCCTATGCCAATGTCTTCCAGAGTTCTGCCTAACTTACCTTCCAGCAAGTTTAATGTTTCTGTTTTAATATTTAGATCTTTAATCCATTTGGATTTTAATTTAGTGCATGGTGAAAGATAAGGGCTAATTTTAATCTGGTTGGCAGGTTGACATCCAGTTTTTCAACACCATTTATTAAAGAGGCTATCTTTCCTCCACTGAGGATGGTCAGCTCCTTTGTCAAAGATGAGGTAGCTCAGTACATCTGGCTTTGTTTTTGTGTCTTCCAGTCTGTTCCACTGATCCTCAGGCCTATTTCTTTGCCATTACCATGCTGTTTTTATCACAGTGTCTTTGTAGTATAGTTTCAAATTGGGAATTGTTACACCTGGTGCCATGTGTCTGTTGCCTAAAATGGCTTTTGCTATTCTAGGAAGAGACCTCTCTTTTCACAGTCACTGACTGCAATCTTATCTTCTATATCTGAAAGTCTATCTTCGCATTCTTTTATTCTGTTGCATACACTTTCTAAGGAGTGTTTAATCTCCTGGATATCTGTTTGACTCTGTTTTATGGATTTCATTTCTTTCCTATGTTGGGCGTTTATTTTTTCCATTTCTTTCTTATGCTGGGTCTTCATGGCTTCTATCATGGTCCTAAGCTCATCTATTTTTTTTGTCTGTTTCTGCTCTACAGTCTCGAATTGCGACTTCCATTTTGCTCACTATGTCTATGGTTATCTGGGAAATTATTTCTGTTTTGAATTTTTCTAGAGCCTGATGGATCTGTTTTGTTACTTCCTGTGCTTTGAGTTCAGGGTGTCCTGGTGGTTCACTATCGGCCTTTTCATCCTCATTTGCCTTACTGTTTGCCATTGATGAACTGGAAGTCTGTCCTTGTGTCTTACTTAAGTGTTTTCTCATTTTTATTTTTGTTGTCGGACTGCCCGGACTGTCCGTGGTTTAATCTCTGGGTTATCACCCAAATCTTCCTGATATAGTTGCGCCCTAGCTTCTGTGTCTCTAAGGATCCACAGACATTCTCATCTTCATAACATCAGAGAAAACACCTCATCAAATCAACCACAATCCTTTATCCCAACTGATACAATCAGCAACACATTAAGATCAAGCACAACTTGGAAACTGACCACCTGTGGTAGTCACTAGTCTATCATCCGTAAATCATCTGGATTAAATTGAAATCAAGAAGCAGTCCACAACATGTCTGCAGTGAACAAAATTTCAATATAGTGTATTTACCATTTAATGGCTCAGACAGAGGTAGGATGCAAGACCCCTGATCTCAGTTAGCTGATGGCTGAACCCCATGATGCTGACTGACCTTGGGCTGCAAGGCCCAGATTGAGTTCCCCAACCTTCTGAATGGTTGAACTCCACACCGTTCTACTACAGGTTTCCCACGCCCTTTCTTTAAAGATGTTCAAAGTTGGGAACTCAGAAAAATACCCTTGATGACCACCTCTGCCTCTGCAGAGTGGGTTCAAAGACTGGCACAGTCAGGAGGTCTGAGAGTGTGTGTGGGGGGGCTGCACTTATGGGGTTTCACAGGCACCCGCTGGCTACCTCCCGGCGCTGGAGCGATGGCGGCTGGGGCGGGAGAAGGCCAAACCAAGTTAGCTTATTCAGACTTTTTGAAGAATGTTTTCATTTTTAATTTGCATGTCTGTACCCATGTAGCCAAAGCCTTTCTTCTCTTTCACAAAAACTACAAGCTAATAAGAAGCGAAGAGAAGAAAAATGGACACTGAATATCAAATGTCAGTAGAGTGTCTAGAACCTGGGAGCACCTTAGAGTAAATCATTACTAACGGCTTTTTCTTCTTGGAGGCTGCATGGTTTTGGTAATGACGATTCAAGAACCTCAGTCACCAACTCATCCATGATTCAGTGTTGCTTGTGGAAAATGTGGGTGATTTCTTTAGGCTTTGCCAACTGAATATTTATAGTATCTTCTTGGAAAGGTATGTTTTGCTTAGGTGGCAACATTAGGAGAAGGGAGGAAGAATTTCCTTGTGCAATTTTCAAAATGAATTTCATGGCTTCTTACCCCGTGATTCTTTAAATGTTTTGCTAGTCTCATCACATCAGGGATCATATATCATCTTATTGTTAAAATAGATTCTAAAACAAAACAAAACAAAACAAAAAAACAGCACACAAGATCTACATCCTTCAGGAAATCACCAGTGAGTAGTTAAATGTACCTAATACTTTGAACTATTCAAATGAAGTTTCATAACTTTAAGAAACATTGGAAGTTATTTTTGTTATTTATTTCTGTACACCTTTTGAGTTTCCTTGTTATTTACTTACAATCTTTGCCTATAGCAGGCAGTTGTGGATTTGGGTGTGGGACCAGTTCCTTCGGGTCACACGATCTTGGCATCATCTGCACCGTGGCAATAAAAATGGCGCCTAAGTCATGGGACTGTTGAGAGGGTCGGTTGACATAAGAATATAGAAGCAGTTAGCGTAGCGTATGGTACATTGACTGCTATCCAGTGCCTACAGCAATTATCATCTGTCCCGGTTACACTTCCATGCAGACTGGAAGGTGAGTAGGGAAGAGTGTGGGTCTGGAGCGAGTCAGTTCTGAGGTTCATTTCCGAGTCTACTGCTCCTTAGGGCATCTCAAGAATTTCAATGAACTCTTCCAGCCGCCACCTCTTTATTTCTAAAATGAATATACAGCCATAATATCCAGTTCACTGGGTTGTTGTGAGCAAAGTGTCTCTTCTGTGCCTTTCTGCCCGCTGATTATCAACAAGTTAACACCTAGGATGTCTGTTCTAAGGACAGTGCAAGGCAGGACTCACAGGAAGTTTCAAAAAAAACTGCGTGCTCTCCATCACGGGCAAGGAGAGGATCTCACGAAATCAAGCCGACCGCGCACAATGAATGGCTGATGATACATGCAAATTCAAGTGGCTCTCTCACCCGCGCTCATTTATATTCTTCCCAGTGTGGGTGCGGAGAAATTTTCAATGAGAGCCTTTTAAAAAAATTTCCGGATATTTTTTTACAAGTCAGCAGATCTCCAAAGCCCAGCTAAAATACAGGCTGATTAAAGACCCTAGAAAAACTGGAACTGTCACAAACTGCTCAGCGGCCAGTGTGACAGGAACTGGGAGAAAACGAACCTCTTCTTTCTAATCCAGGGCAGAGACATCTGTGACTCTGGCAGAGGTAAAAGCAGGAAGGCGTCAAGTTGCTCTCAGCGGGATCAGAGCGGCGGTAAAAGGGGTCCCTTCTGCTCGTCGGGTCAGGGAGGATTTTCCTCGAGCATCGCGACGACCCTAGGCTTCGGGTCAGGCCCGCAGAACCCCAGCCCTCGCAGGGTTAAACCTCCCGTAAGGAGGCCGGCGAAGGGAGGGTCTCTGGGCTGCACCAGGGAGCTTCTTCCCAGCGGGCCCGCCCC